CAGTGTCTGACACCTGCTTAACCTGCTGCAAGTGATGAGACAGGAGCTTGGCTTTCTCCAGAGAGCTCTCACCTGCCCTGGACAGCCCCACTGTGAGCCCAGAAGGGTTCCTGGAACTGCTTCACTGGTTACTGCTTGCCCTTCAATACTTCATCATGCACCACTTACAAATCATTTCTTATAAAAACTTATAAAATGTTTCTGACTCGTTTGGAGGAAGGAGTTTCTCTCCCCTGCTTGGTGTTTCTCTTCTCCTGAAGCTGTGAAGTGGAACTAATGTTTATCTCAAAAGGAAACCTGCTGGAGTCCAGACTTGTGGAGTTGTGTATTTTGGGGAGGGAGATTGCAAGCTTCTCAATAGCACTCCTGTCTGGTTTCTCCCTGATTTTACCTCTGTGACCTCAACCTGCAGTCTGTGCCCTCACCCACGCTCACTCCCGGCTGTTCCCCCTTTCCCCAGGAACCAGGCAAACGCAGTGGAGGCCAGCGTGGAGGAGGTGCTGGGGAACCTGCAGCGAGCCAACGCGGTGCTGCTGGAGGCCCAGGGCGCCATCAGGGGCTCGGGCTCCTCCCTGAGCTTCATCCGCGAGCGCGTGGCTGAGGTCAGTGATCCCAGAAACGATTCTGAGTCCCTGTCCCACGGTGTGTCCATCCCCAGCAGAGCTGTCCCTGCCCAGGCTGGGCTTTGGCTGTGACCCCTCCTAACGTGGCTCCCTCTGCTCGCAGATCGAGGATGTCCTCGGGCCGGCYGAGAAGAGCGTGGTGGCCATCGGGGCCGGGCTGGCTGGGCTGGCCGGGCGGCTGTCACAACTGCAGAGCAGCACTGCCCAGAACCGCCTGCGGGCTGGGGACACGCGGGACATGGCGGGGACAGCAGCAGAGCAGGCCAGCAGTGCCCAGCAGGTACACGGGGACACGCGGGACATGGCGGGGACAGCAGCAGAGCAGGCCAGCAGTGCCCAGCAGGTACCACTCCAGGCTGGGGACACACGGGGACATGGCGGGGACAGCGGCAGAGCAGGCCAGCAG